GTGGAAAAAACCTAAAACCCTAACTTTTATCTTTAATAAAAGTTATATTTAAATGCTTTTTTATGCACAAATTGCCTAAGTTGTTTGATTTCTTTATAGAAATGAGTTTTATTGTAATATTATTGTTGGAAATTGTTGATTGACATGAGAAAGATTGAGTTTCGATCTTTTTGGACAATGGTTTGAAAGGAAATGAAAATGGGATAAAATTGCTAGATTTGAAAACTTTTGAGAACTTGCATTTATATTTTTACATTACATGAGATGTTATGAAACTATATGCTTATGAGAAAGATGTTTTATAATGCCCCGTATTTTTTGTATAGAATTTTATTTTGTGATTTTCCCTGGGGGGGTTAAGTGTTAAATTTTGAAAGTTTTAAGGGAGTAAAGGTAATAGCCAAAATAAGTGAGGACTAAAGTGAAATTTGCTAGATATTTTGATGAACAATGATTAGAGGTGGAAAAGCAACCCACCTGGCTCGACCCGACCCCGCCCGTGGTGGGTTGCTATTAATGGCGGGTCGGTCCTGACTCGCCCGGTGACATTAGCGGGCAGGGTTAGGCCCGCCAATATTAAGGAATTGGCTGGCCCAACCCGGACCGCCAACCCTAACCCATCGGGTTAGGCACGGGTTGGGCCGGGTTAACCCGCTTTTTGATTTTTGATTTTTGATTTTTTGTTTAAGTTTAAATGTTTAATTAACTTTTCAAATGAATAATTAACAATTTATAAATGAATAAATGTAATTGTTTTTAGTTAATTGTTAATTTCTTTTCAAATGAATAATTAACAATTTATAAATGAATAAATGTAATTGTTTTTAGTTAATTGTTAATTTCTTTTCAAATATCAATAATTAAATTAAATTATTTTTTTTTAGTTAACATTCCAAATATTAATTCAATTTTAATACATTAAAATTGTAATATAAAAATAATTAAATTTATTCATTTATTAAAAAATAAAATAAGAAACTACAATAATTATTGCCTCGTTAAAAACCTCACCAAGAAAAACCCAATAGGATAAAAACTTGATAAGGAAAAAAGAGTGCAATAATTGATAATTAATTTGTCAAGTTACAATTTACAAAACAACTAATTTTGGGGTTCACTAGGACCTCCCTCATCCGTATCATCTATATTACAAAATTGAAATGATTCTATTAAAGTATCGTCGACAACCTCGTATTGACCTTCATGGCGCGACCGTTCCCAATCTCGAAGACATGTGAGGACTTCAATCATTTGTGGTGAAAGTTTAGTCCTCCTTTCATTTAAAATTCTTCCACTTGCACTAAATGTTTGTTCGGATGAGACGGTTGAGACAGGAACAGCGAAAACATCCAAGGCAAGTCTTGATAATACCGAAAAAATACATTTTCTGGCTCTCCAATAGTCTAAGAGATCAATGTTGGCTCTCTGTTTTGGATCTACTGGTAACATTTCAGGGATTGCCAAATATTGTTGAAGCTCATTACTCTACGACTGCATGGAAAACAGTACATTAGTTGTTATTGTTGGTGGAGCTTCTGAAGAGGAGGTTGTGCTTCGGATTCGGGTCCTCTTCGGCCTATTTAGTGCACCCCAAGAGTAGAAGTCTTCATTTGTTTCTTCCTATGCAGCTTCCCTGGATGTTTCGCCTTTTTGCAGGTTCCCATACCTGTTTTCATACTGGAAATATACTTCAAAAAGTGTATTTTTTTACCTCTCCTATTTGATTGGCATATGCTTCGGTTTGTAAATTTTCATATAAATTGTCAAAACCATTTTCTAAACCTGCTAATTTAATTCTAGGATCAAATATAACACTTAAACAATAAAGAAAAGGAATTGGTTCCCAATATTTTAAAAAAAAAAATTCCATTGCCTTTATTGGTGCATTTAAAATTACATTGTCTTTGTTTTTTTATAAATAACTCAGAATTTTTTATAATTGTATGTATTACCAATGGACTAGTAGGATAATACATACCAGAAAGTTGTAAAGTGGATTGGTAAAAAGTTTTAAGAAAAGAATGAAATACCTTAGCTATTTGCCAATCATTTTCTACCAAATAATGAGGACCTCTATTATTTGCTACAAAATAACTAATTATATTAGCATAAGGTAAACATGAATCAAGCATTAAATAAGTACTATTCCATCTAACAGGCATATCTAATGCAAAAGTTCTAGGAGACATATTTGATTTTATACAAGCTTCTTGAAATTCAGCATTTCTTTTATTACTACTAGTAATCCAAGCTAAAGATTCCCTAATTCTATCAATATTTTTTTTAATTGTTTTCATACCACTTTTCACAATTAAATTAATAACATGACATGCACAACGTTGGTGAAAAAACTTCAAATTATTATATAAAAGATAATTATTTTGAAAAAATTCTATAGCTTTACTATTAGAACTTGCATTATCTAAAGTTAAACTTATCACTTTATCAATAATATCATAATCTTCTAAAACTTCAATAATTTTATTATAGATTTCTAAACCACTATGATCCACATCCATTAATCTAAATCCTAATAAAGATTTATTTAATTTAAATTCATTATCAAAATAATGACTAGTCACACAAATATAATCTTGTTTAGCTCTACCACTCCAAATATCAGCAGTTAAAGCCACACTAATATGACAAGTATGAATTTTATTTTTTAATTCTAATTTCATTTTTTTAAACAATTTTATTAAATCATTTCTAGTTGCAGTTTTAGAATAACTTTTAAATCCTGGAAAAAATGAATTTTGAACAAATCTTTCAAAATATTTATCTTCAGCCATATTAATAGGTTGATCAGTTGCAGCAATATATAAAGCTAACTGTTCCCTATATACATCAGAATTATAATGCCAATTAGTACCCATATTAGTTATTTGAGTTTGATTGCTTTCTCTATTTCCATGTTGATTAATATGTTTATTAGCATGCCTTTTTAAAGTACTAGTACATTACCTGAATCAGCTTTATAAATATTTCCACAGTATTTACATCTCGCTTTCTTGACTTGAACGCCATTTTCTGTCTTGTAAAACTTGTCGAAATGCGCCCAAACGTCTGATGTGTGTCTATCTTCGCTTTCGACGGCAATTGATGATCCCACCTCAGCTTGAGATGAAGTTGGACGAGCACGACGATTACGAGGACGACTTCTAGAACCATCGGGAGCTGTTGAAATCGGGGGCATATTTTGAGGTGTATCGGATCTGAGAATAGGAAAGCGGGACTATTTGAATCTCCTCCTGCATTTATGTTAGTAAAATCAGTGGGACTAGGACTAGGATAGTAGTTTCCATCATTATTGTAATCGATGGGAAAGAAATATCTATCCATTGTAGTTGAAAAAAAGATTGATGTAGAAGAAATAAAAATTAAAGAAAGAGAATTGGAATATGGAAATTGGAATTTGGAAATATGAATTAAAAATTGCAAAAACTAATAAAAATTAAAATACTAGCAAATTTATAACAAAGAGATTAAGAGAATAAATGAATAATTGAGAGATTAGAGATTAGAGAATATGAGAGAATGAGAGAATTTGAGTTGTGAGAAAAATGTGAGAGTTTAGGGCCAATTTATAGGAAAAAATGGTAAAGAAAAATGACGAAAAAGACCCCTCCAACGGCTATAAAATGACTATATTTCAAGAGTAAAGGGGTAATTTTAAAAATAAAATAAAATAAAATTTTTTATTTTTATTTTTTTCGCCCAACCCAGCGGGTTGGCTGTTGCAACCCGGCGGGTTGGCGGGTCTCTTGCAAAAGAGACAAAACAGCAACCCGCTGGGTTACGGGTTGCCATTGTGCAACCCGGCCCGCCCGGGGGTTGCTGCCGGGTTTAACCCGCATCTTTACGGGCCGGGTTAGGGTTGACCCGCCTAACCCGGGCCAAATGTTCCACCTCTAACAATGATCAATCAAAGTGAGGACTAAAGTGATATTTTTTCCTGAATTTGACAACCTAATTGCATCAACACATCAATGTCATGTGACAAAAATACTAAATAAACTCAAACTCAAAAGAGGGAAAGAAATATTGAATTGCTTTTGTATAAATATGAAATGTGTCAATTACATTAAATTACAACATTATATACAACAAATAAATGTTATATATACACCCAAAACAAAAGCAAGGCGAGCAACCTCCATCCCCCCTCTTCATCATTCTCTTCAGCCACTTTCCCATCCTCCAAAATTATCCAACACACCTTCAGCATCAGCAGCAGCAGTAACAGCCTCTTCGTCTTATTCTACAACACCCCTTCCAACATTATCCAGCCTTGACCTTGGCCATAAAGCATACATAACACCACAACCCAAGTATCAATAGCCCGACGCCTAACAACACCTCCTGATCCAATTCAAGACAATCCAATTATTCAAGACAACCCAATAAGACATCATCACATAAACTATAAAATTCTAAGTCCAACTTCCATACCTTTTGATGACAGCATCAACAATGACTTGGATTTGGTTCTAGTCAGTCAAAATGGATCCATATGCCCATGAAAGCACCCAATAGCCTAGTGCTCCCGACAGTTGCTTATTGTTTCGTCATTCAAGCTGTCCATCAGGGTGTTGGTCATGTCGAACTCAATAAATTTTAGTGCATATGCCCCGCAATCAACACTACAATAGGAGGAAGACATTAGCATTAGAATCAACTTATAGAACAATTGTATTATGTAAGTTTTATACAAAATATACCTTGAGTCATTTGTTGGGACGGGAAGACGCTTAAGTGGCCATTTTCCAGTCAGTAGTTCATCACCCAAGTGTTGAAACATCCCGCTATCATTCAACAGCCGCAGGAACAATATACATAGCGACTACAACTCCGTCTCCAACTGCCTCTCTTGACAAATACTTGGGTTGCAATCAAGGATCTGCAGCAAGCCCTCCTCTAGTAGCACGATGACAGTTATCCAATGCATATCCTTGATGTTCATGATACAGTATACTTTTTTAACGTTTGCCCAACTGTTTCTATGTTTGGGTCTTTCCCCCCCGTACATACTGCATCATCCTATCATCAAACTGAAAATCATCAGGGGCACCGTCGAAGTCATTTGTGGCAAATCTTTTCCGCTTGCCTCCCCTGGTTGCACCTCTACCATTGGCCTTTTTCATTAAAGTGTCATATGTAGTTACTAGTGTTTGGCCAAATGCCACATCAGTGATGACACAATGCAGATACAAAATATCACCATGATAAATATCATTGATGTACTGCATCAAGTAAAAACAACATGATAAATATACAATACCTCATGGAAAATATAAGCAAAAATAAGGAAAAAATAACTCACCGAGTCTTCGAGCCACCTGCCCATTGTCAACATATTTTCAAACCACTCCCGGGGATAATCCTCAATCTTGCACTTCACATGTCCCTCACTTCTAGAATAATTGTAATAGGCATAGAAGAGTATTGTCTTTTCCTCATCTATTGGCCTATACAAATCGACCTTTAACTCCTCCGTTTTCACTTGTCCACTTCGTCCTCCATTTTCACTTCCCCACTTCCTCAGCCTTCCTCCTTACCCTCCTCTATTTTTGCTTCTACACTTTCACGAACTTCCTCATTTTTTTTCTTCTTTTTCCTTTTCTTTCCACATGTTATTGTCGTGTAAGGAGAAATTACGTGCTTACTCTTTCGGCTCTCTCTTTTATACTCAGGTTGCACTTCAACCACTTTCAATACCCCACCAACTTCCTCTTCCACCATATCAACTTTCTCCTCCACCCTTTTCATCCGCTCTTCCATCTTCTCAAATCTCATAAACGGCTATTGTAAAACTCTTAAACAGACAGTTTATGAGGTTAACCACCTTATTCTCCTGACCCTGACGCCTCGGCAAAATGATACTTCTTGTACCGGTTTGCCAATTTGGTGGAGGCGTACAAACCTCTTTATCCTCCTCCCTCCCGCTGATTAGAGCTTCATCATCCTCGATGTCAACAACATTCTCAAGCAGTGGCCCAGCAACTGCACTCACATGCATGACCCCTTCTAGGTCCTGCATTAGGCGGTCTATCCTTTCATATGATGCATTGTCTAGTGTTTTGAACGATGTAACATACTCCTCTCCCGCTTCACCCCTAGTAGCGGTAAGGAAGGGACAAACGACTCTCTGCAATAAGAAAAAAAATTAATCAAATTTAAGCCACATTTAAAAGCAAGTGCATATTCAAAAGATTAATCCTTTAATCTTACCCGAGCTGCTTGAATTTCCTTGTCTATTTTGTCTTAATCTCAATGTGCCACCGCAACATCCTAGAAAATTGTGATCGCTCATTCGAAGTCTTCTTCCTCCCCCCCCCACCTTAGCCAAAACAAGAACGACCTCACACATCCAAGCCTACATTATCAAAAAATAGTCCATATCATAATTAAAATACATATAATACAAAAAAATATAACAAAAAACTATTAATATTTTCCTGCATTGCCTATGGGAAGCCAAACAAATTGTATGTGTTCAGTCTATTCTTCTCGACAGATTGGCGATGCTTTAACGCCATGTCTTTTCCTTGTAGGGAGTCCATGGTTAGTTGAAATGATACTCGTCCCTAAGGATAAGCATTAAAGAAGTCCATGTTGCTTGCAAACTTCATCCAATCCATATTAATGACTTTTGTTGAGTCAGAAGCCATTAGGATCGAATGCACGAACTATACCAGACACATCTTAAACCTCTCTGAAGAGGTATACCCATCATCTCTTAACCTCTCCTCTAAATCACATCCCGTAAAAGATGCCTTTTTAGCCAAGTTATCAGTTGCCCTACTCTTCTTTATTCTCTCTTGCTCTTCCACATCTAGAAATGCCCTACATCTTAAGCCGGTCATCAGGGCATATTCCATCATCCCAAAACGTAGTGCCATCCACCACAAACCACATTTCATTTTTTTTTTTTTTTGGCTTTTAACTGAGTGCAGCAACATATAATGCACTCCCTGCCCTCAGAACGTTTTTTTTCCAATTTTCTCCGATGCTCACAAAATGACCGAAACAACTCTCTTTGAATCGGTTCATACCCTTCTTTTGTTCCTCTAAAATCTCTATTATTCTCGTAAAAACTTATCAACTCGACCTAATTGTCACCCTCTTGGGGAATTACGTTACCTTATCACTTACAACCTTGGCGGAACAAGGGGGCTGGAGGGCTGCCTTGCATATTACAAGGCTAGTCACGCACAGCTACGCGCGCATAGCTTCTGCCATCCCCAGCCCTCCAACCTCCCACAAACAACCTCCCTACAGCCTCCCTTGCCTTCCCCCGTCCTCTGGAACCCAAACAAAGCCACTTACTCGATGTCTGCCAACTGCTCGATAAAACGCCACAACCACTTTAACAATAAACCCAACTACATATCCCCCAAATTCGCACAAATTAATCAATTTTCTCATCAAATTTAAAACCACAAGTAAAAAACATACCATTTCTTCACCAGTGTCCTCCTCCTCGCCTGAATTCTTGCTAGCATCCTCCTCTTCAGAACCATTTTTTGATTCTTCTCTCTGTTCTTGTGCCACCGTTGTCTCCTCTGCCTCTGGACCACCTTGACTTATCGGATGATCCACCAAAGCCTCTTCTTCGACAGCCTTTGAACAGCTGTCGCTGCCAGAGTCTAGGATTTTGAGTGGGGTTGGGTTTTTCTCCTCTTTGTGAATATCAACCATGATTTTGTGTGAGGAAGCTTTAGGATCGAATATTTTCCAGATATATGGCACTTTTATCGCCAAAAATCGTAAAGAAATCAAAGGTGTTTGTCAATCGTTTTTTGAGTATATGACTCGATTAAGCGATTTTGAAGGGTGGGGGTCGTTTTTAATTTTCAAAATTTTTTTAAAAAATTCATTAATTATAATATTACCCAAATATGTTTAACCTGTTTTACATGTTTAATGAATCCTAAGTGTGCCACGTCAGTTTTTCTAACTTAAAAAAAATTACAAAATCTTTTCAAGGTTATTTTTTTAAATGCAAACTTGGGAGGTCTGGCCAGTTAAATTTCCTCGAAGAAGGGAACGACGGGGAGAAGAAGAAAGAGAGGAGAAAAAGAAGAGAAGAAAGAAAAGAGAGAAAATGGAGAAAAGAAAAGAGAGAAAGAAGAAAGAAAGGAAGAAGGGAGAGAATGTAGAGAGAGAGTAGAGAATGATGAAGGTGGCTGGACAAGTGGCCGACGAACAAAACTCCGGTGATCGGAAAGAGTGGAGGAAGATCAAGCATATGGGAGGTGAGTAAAACTTAGAATTTCCCTCTTTGATGAGTTTTAGTTCATTTGATTTGTGTTGGTTATAATTGAGTGTAATGGCATGAGATTACACTAAAATGAGAAGATTGAGTTCAATAATGTTATTTGGGTAGAACATATATGTGTTTCCTAAACAAAATTTGGTTAAAGATGTGATTTTGATATAAGGGTTCACTGTATAAAAATCTGGCCATCTGGAATTCCGAAATTTTTTTTGTATGTTTTAGGTTTTTGTTTGAAGCTGAATTTCGGATATTTTGTTGCATACTTCTTGAGAAGTGTTTAAAAATTTATTTCACTCAAAAACTCGAAGAATTGAATTTTATATGGATTTTTGAAGTTGTCTTGTGAATTTTGGAATTTTTGTCTTCTGTAGAACATGTATTTTTGAAAAATGATTTGATACGTCTATTTTTATCTAAATTGAATTATTTTAAATTCTGGTAAATTCTATATGAATGATTTTAAATTCTAGTAAATTCTATATGTGTCTAGTTTAATTCTTAAGAGTTTTGTGAGGTTTAGATTAATGGTTAAATTGTTATGAATTTTACAAGTTAGTAACCTCAATTCTGGAAATAGTTGGTAGTTTTGAATGAGTTGAAAGAAAATCATGTTTTAAATAGTTATTGATTCTGGAATGACTTGAGAAAATTATGGGGAACAACTTGTGTGTCTCTAGAATGTCCCATTAAAATTATGGCTTAAATTGATGAATGAAATTTTTATGAAAAATCCGAGAGCGACCAATGTTCGGTTATGAGACTGTTTTGTTAAAGAAGAAGTTAGGTTAATCTTTTGGTGTGTGAAGTGTCCAATGGTTTTAATATTGAGCTGTTACTTTAAGGGGACTTATGTATGGAGGATTTATTGGTTTTTGTATATAGGGAGGCAAGTAGGGGCATCTTTAGAGGATTTCAATCTTTTTTTGGCTAAAGGGTTAAGCTCGAAAATAGTGAGTGGGAAATCCAAACCCTAACTTTCATTTTGAAATAAATGTTTATTATAAACTTCAAATGAGTTGATCTGGTTTAGTATCTGCCATAATTTAGTGATTTACTTTATATAAATATGATTCATTGCTAATGTTATTGGTTTACATAAGAAATTGAGTTTTTTTGGAAAGTTGTTGTTGATAATATAAAAAATTGGGCTAAAGAGTTATTATGAAATCATGTTGAAAACTTGCATTTTAGCCTTATACTGCACATGAGAATTTAATGTTATGTTATATGTTTTCTTGATGAATGAAGGCATGAGATTTATGTAAAATGGTGAGTTAAATGTATGTATATTGATGATAGTAGTTTTCAAACCACCATATATAGTATTCATCCCCCTCATGATATTGATTTGATTCTGCGCATGCGTATGACATAATTTTGCCGGCTTAAGTGGGTCAAAGGCCCGAGTGAGGCAGATATCGCTAGACCTGATTTGATTTTGCCAGTCCAAGTGGGTTGAAGGCCCGAGTGAGGCAAATGTCGCTAGACATGATTTGATTTTGTCGACTCAAGTGGGTCGAAGGCCCGAGCAAGGCAGATATCGCTAGACAGGATATGATTGTGTCGGCTCGAGCAATGCATGGTCTCGCTGGGTCGAAGGCTTGAGCGATGACCAATTCCGCCTAGCAGGATGGATCTAGTGGTTCAACCCACGCGACTTTAGATCTTGCCGGGTTAGACAGATTTACCCCTGGTACTAGTTGGATGAGAGTTTTAACATGTAATTGAGAAATGGTTTGGATATGTATATTTATATTTATATCATGAATTTAAAATGGAAATTTATAAATGCAAGTGCTATCTGTATATGAAATATTTTTAGAAATGATATTTTTTAGAGAACATGAGTATTGATCTGTTACCATAAAAGTTTTTAGAATGAAGCTTTTGCCGTGAGAGATTTCAGCATTGGTTATGGAAGATGGTTTATATTATAAAATGTGTTTATGGAAATGAGATTTGATGAGCATAAATGTTTTATTGTATATTGAAATATTTTATTGCATATTAACTTATTCTCCACTCACTGGGCATTATAGCTCATCCCTCATTTTTAAATGTTGTTCTTTTCCACCTCCACCAGGTCAAGAAGGAGATCGTGTAGAGGAGTGAATCTCACTCAAGGTTGAGTCACACGACTTTATTTCATCATATGTGTCATAGTTGTGTTTTATTTTCCACTGCAAAGTTTATATTTTTTCATCATGTATTTATTTCATGTTTTGGATTGTAAAAGATATGGAAAAATCTGATACTATACATTTCATTTTGTAAAAATTTAGTTGTATCTGTTTATTTATAAATGATGTTATATTTATTTGTATATTGAAATATTTTATTGCATATTAACATATTCTCCACTCACTGAGCATTATAGCTAATTTCTCGTTTTTAATTGTTGTTCTTTTCCACCTCCACCAGGTCAAGAAGAAGATCGTGCAGAGGAGTGAATCTCACTCAAGGTTGAGCCACACAACTTTATTTCATCATATGTGTCATAGTTTGTTTTATTTTCTCCTGCAAAGTTTATGTTTCTTCATCATGTATTTATTTCATGTTTTGAATTGTAAAAGATATGGAAAAATCTGATACTATACATTTCACTTTGTAAAAATTTAGTTGCATCTGTTTATTTACAAATTATGTTATATTTATTTGTGAGAAACAAAAAGGAGTGTTTATAAATATTTTTTTAGCTAAAGGAGTTTTATGATGTTTTAATTCATAAACAGATTTCATAGTTTTTCCACAAGGCACGTCTCGATCACCCAAGTCTCATGGGTGTGCCTGAAGCCTATGGGATAGGGAGAGTCGGGACAGGTCATGTCATGTTTTGAGAGTAAGTATGAGATGTTAGTGGCTTTCAAACCACCCTAATTAGTAACCATCCCCCTCATGATATTGATTTGATTCTACGCATGCATATGATTGGTCATGTGCCATCCCAAATGGGTTGAAGGCCCGAGTGAGGTAGATATCGCTAGATAAGATTTGATTTTGTCGTTTTGTCGACCCAAATGGGTCGAAGGCCCTAGCGAGGCAAATAACACTAGACAAGATTTGATTGTGCCGACCCAATCAATGCATGGTCTCACTAGGTTGAAGGTTGAGCGGTGTTTATTCCGCCTAGCAGGATGGATTTAGTGATTCAACCTGCGCGATGTTAGATCTTGCTAAGTTGGACAGATTTACCGCTGGGTACTAGTTGGGTGAGAGTTTTCACATGTGATTGAGAGATGGTTTGGATATATATATATCATGTATTTGAAGTGGAAATTTGTAAATGCAAATGTTATTTGTATATGAAATGTTTTTAGAAATGATATTTTTAGAGAAACATGAGTATTGATTTGTTTGCCATAAAAGTTTTCAAAAAAAAGTTTTGCAATGAGAGATTTCAGCATTGGTTATGGAAGATGGTCTATATTATAAAATGTGTTTATGGAAATGAGATTTTATAAGCATGAATGTTTTATTTTATATTGAAATATTTTATTGTATATTGAAATGTTTTATTGCATACTAACCCCTTCCCCACTCACTGAGCATTTTAGATCACCTCTCGTTTTCAAATGTTTTTCTTTTCCCCCCACCAGGTCAAGAAAAAGATTGTGTAGAGGAGTGAATCCTACTCCAGGTTGGGCCACGTGACTTTATTTCATCATATGTGTCATAGTTGTGTTTTATTTTCTACTGCAAAGTTTATGTTTCTTCATCATGTATTTATTTCATGTCTTGGATTGTAAAAGATATAAAAAAATCTGATACTATATGTTTCATTTTGTAAAGATTTAGTTGCATTTGTTTATTTACAAATGATGTTATATTTATTTGTGAGAAACAAAAGGGAGTGCATATAAATGTTTCAGCTAGAAGAGTTTTATGATGTTTTAATTTATAAACAAGTTTCATAGTTTTTCCACATGGCACGTCTGCGTCACTTGAGTCTCATGGGTACTCTCGGAGCCTATAAGATAGGGAGGGTCTAGACGGGTCATGTCATCCCTACACCAAACCCCTATGATTTTCACTTGATTGCTTCCATCGGTGATTAGTTGCTACTAGGTTTAAGGTTTTGCCTTTTCAAGCCGGATCCTAGTGGCCAAAATCCTACCCATCACCACCCTTAATTAGCATCATTGACCCCTCCTAATCAAAACCCTCATCACCCCGGCGTCTGGTAGCTCACCAAACGCCGTCTACCACGCACAACTCCAGCAAGCGACATCACGGCATGTGCGCTCGGACGACACCGTTGTGCAATTTCTTTGTTTCCTCGCCTTCTTCACGACATTTATTCTCCTTCGCATCGCTATTGCCGAGCTTTGGTTGGTCTATGGTGCCGATTGTGGCGGCTAGAGTTTGCCTAACTTGTAGAGGCGCGATGGACAGACTTCTATCTTTCAGGGGGGTTTTTGATAATTAGCTGCCATAATCAAAAGTAAAATGTTCAAGGGCAGTTTGGTAATAGCACTCTCTATATTGTGTCATAATCCAAGAATCACTATCAATGTTAATTTAAGTGTGTGAATATGTAATTTATGAAACCAAGGGTGGTAACTTGCCATTTCTTGAAACCTTGGGTGGATAGAATCGTTACTCTAAAAAATATTGTGTGTCTCATAATAAAATATGGTGTGTGTACATATATATATACACCAATAATTAATCACATTAACAATAAATGTTCTTTCCGTTGATCTCCTTTAATTTTATGGATCGAATTTAAGTAACTTTTCCCTTGAAAAAGAAAAAAACGTGACCACTCAGGTTTCATATTCAGCGGCTTGATGTTAACTAATCAAATTTTAAAATTCATAACAAGTGAGAAAATCACAGAAAATGTTTATCATTATCATCACTTTTCCCAAGATGCATCCAACCATGTCCTATTAATCACATTTCACCTCCAAGTAATTATTAAAAATAAAAATCATGGAACAATTTGTAAGGGTCTAAATACACAACAACAAATACATCTATCCATTCATTTTATACGATGAAGTAATACCGAAAGTATTATTAACATTCATAATAAACACAACGGTGCGCCTTAAAATGATCAATTAAAACACACCCACATAATAATACACACACTTTAATACCACATAATAATACACATTACAGAAATTCTGTACTTTATAACATATTACAAACGATTCATCCACCACAGTTGAACGCTGCGATCGTAACGCACTGTTGTCAAAAACCAAGCCGCTTTAATAGCTTCCCCAGTTGACATCTGATCTGAGAAACCAAAAAGTTGAAGTAGTGGGCGGAGAATCAAAAGATGTTTTAACAAGACCAACAACCCCCATTGACCCGCCATTTGTCTAATCACTTCCATGCATGACACGAGAGGTGGCAAGGGTTTGTTGGGTCTTTCTTTCTTCTCTCTTACTTTACTGTTTGAGGGATGGGTGAAGATGACGAATCATTTCCAGCAGTGGCTGGAGTGCTTGCATGCTGATTTCTTTGCGATTTTCCTGGCCTCTTTGTCTCAGATTTTAGTCCTGGTTGCCGCACCTTCACTCCTCTTATCAACTGTGAGATTGATTCAAGCTTTTTAAAGAAGATATTATACAAAATTTGGAGAAGATAAAAAGTATTTGAAAAGACTACGTGAATTAGATGATGGTTTAGTTCTTACATATTTGCCACATTTGATGTCTGAGTATATGACTATGAAATCTCCTTCTTGAAGTCCATTTGTTCTAACAAAATCTCCTGAAAGATTATGATTGAAAATGAGAACAATGTTATTCATAAAGACTTGATAATATATATGGATCTATATCAAAACTCGAATAACCCACCTGTGTTTTCAAGGAGATACATCCTGCTTTTGTTGTTTGGCCAGAATCTGAAACTCCAGAAAGAGAAAAAGAAAGAAATCCAAAGAAGAAAAGTGTCACTTAGCAATGAATGCTATGAACAGAAAAAACAATGGAATGAATATAAGAAGGTTAATTTTAGAATACCTATAGCGCATGTTCCAGACACGAGAAGTTCCAATGTCTTCCATGGCAATAGAAATGCCGTCTCTTGCTTCCAGTTCTGGGAGATGAGTTTCTGCTTCTTTCTGTAGAAATTTACATTTTTTTTTTCCATCAAACACAGCTCACCAATTAACCCTTTGAAAATGAGAACATTACACCAACTAAGATCTAACTTTTGAACTTTTCTTTTGAAATGCAAAACACAAAACAAAAATAAAGAGAGCATACTTTTGGCAACACGATTCTTCCAAGGTTACCCACGTCGCTCTGCTTCAATACTTTTTGCAACAGAAACCTCAGGTTCTTCTCCGGCTTCCATCCCTAAATGAATATAAAAACAATCATCATTACCGTACACTATTGCTGAGCAGCACCACATCCAGAATTAAAAGTTTCCATATATTCTTAAACGAGTTTTCCTGATTTATAAGGCATCTATAGGCTCGATAGATAATTTGATAAGCAAATCATTTTTTCCCATGTTTCAAAATATGGTAACCAACATGTTAACTAATCGATTATGATAAATTGGGTTGGATTTTACAGTGTTAATTTTCTTTCACAAATGGGCAAATCTCGGCAATTTATAACAATGAAAAATATCAAAAGAAAAAAAGAATCCACCTGTCTCCTATCTGAAGCAACCTGCCGCTGGTAATTCTGCGGTTGCATGGAAGATCTGTCTAGAGGCAGCATCGGCGTGGCCGAGGCTGCACCACCTGCAGGAGAGGGCCAGAAGACCCAGTTTCCGGTGTTGCCTTGAGCAGCAGGGTTGCAACTATCATTACCAAATCTTGCATGCTGGTCTGCACTCTCATTCGACATCTGGTTTTGCTGGTTATTGTGGTGATGATGATGCCTTGGATGCGATGAAAGCCTTCTTTGCCTAGCCATCCTTTTCTTTCTAGCTTCCTTGGTGGCAGAAGAACCTAACCTCATCAACCTTTGATCTCCAGGCCCATGAACATATGGGTATGGGTACTGATTCCCATATCCGGTGAATGCATGGGGATGGGGAGGAGCGGGGTGCAGATTGTTATCCGGAAACGAGTTGTAATGAGAAGCCATAGCAAACTGAGAAGGGGGCCATGAATGAGCAGAATCAAGCATATGATATTCTGTATGGGGAGGATAACTGTGGCCATTCATATTAGATGCTCCATTTGCAAATGGGTCACCCATGTAACCAACCATAGGTGGAAATCCCGGCACCACAGTTGCCGGATCAGGAATGTAAGACGGCTGCCCGATCCATGGCGACTGGGTAAAACAAGGGTTGGGTTGATCATGCGGGATAGGATTGCAATTCAGGCTTGGGTTTGAGGTAGGGTTAGGGTTAGGGTTAGGGTTTTGGAAAGGGTCCTGATATTGTTGGTAGGGAAGATTGGAGGCTGATTCTCTAATGCGTCTCTTTTGGAGATGATTAGTTTGCACCCATTCAAGTATAAGTTTCAAGAGTTGCTTCATGGCTTCTTTTCCACCACCCAAACGCTTGGCAGCACACTCTATGGTAGCTTTCTTGATTTTCACTCTCCTTAAGTCTTCAGCTGAAACGGTCTCTTTGTTTGTCTTCAGCCATTCCAAGAATACCATGGCCAAGTCATCTGAAGGCCCTACTTCACGGCTATCTTCATTGTTGTTCTGCATCATAAACTGTGCATGTCCTTGTTGTGGCATTTCCTGAGGTGGTTTATTGTCCTGTTGAAACTGTTCAAGAGGGTTGTCATCATGGTGAAACAAAGACGAAGGATCAAACAAATCATTGCTATCGAGCAGATCCATGAACCCAAAATTCTCCATCACATCCATGCAGTCACCGCCATCGATACAGTCCGTCGGCTGAATAATCTCCATGGAAGTAGTAGATGACAAAGTCGGTGGTACATCTACTGATCGATTTTGATTATCATTTTGAATCTTTTTGTCCACATCTTCTTCTACATCTGACCTTAAAACTGCCCAAGACGCTGCAGAAGAAGATGAAGTAGCCGAAGATGACGATGAAGAGCTACCAATGGCCTTCACCGCTGCCGGATTTGATGAAGATGACGAAGAAGACGACATGCAAGGGAAATCCGGAAGAGGAGGAAAGTCTCCATACAAGATTGAAGCGTCATCAATATCAAGGAGATCATCTTGTGGTCCATCAAGCCAGATCTCTCTTTCGCCGGCACCCAGAACTTGTTCTGCCGCCAAAACCTCAAAACCAGTACAGTTTGTTTCATTTTTCGGAACTGCATGTAGATCTTCAGCATGCAGTTGCCAACTCTTCATCTCAGCGTTGGTTTTTTTTTTTTTTTTTTTTTTTTTTTTTTTTTTTTTTTTTGGGAAAAAGGGTAGAAACCTTTGAAACGATGTTCTGTTGTTACCAGATAGAATTAGAGAAAGACAGAAAGTGGAGAGAAATAAAGGAAAAAAATGAGTGAAGGATAGGGTTTTTCCTGTGTACGGATGGACAAGTGCAAGTGGGAAGATTGTATCCGATTAAGGAAGCAATAGTGAAAGGAGTTTGGTGTGGGCTATCAATTTCTCAACAGAGAAGCAACATAAACCATCTGGTTTTATCAACAAAGATAATATAAATAATTCCTTAACCCATCAAAGAAAGGGACTTCTCTTCTCCAAATCTATGCTTTTCTACTATTTAATTGCATAAACATAAAAAAGATTCTGATAAAAAAAAACCACAGAATAATTAATAAACAATTAACACCATTAGGACTTCACAAAATCATACTGTATAATACTACACAACATTATCGGCGGCCAAATTAAGTAGAGAACAGTGATTGATCTCAAACCAAGCAAGGCCAACATACAACTAGAGATGAGATGACTGAGTTTTGAAGATAACCACATGCGTTAAATCTTCCCAAAGTTAACCCCCATGTGTTTTCTCGTTTCTTCTGGGAAGTTTCAATTGTCTAACCTTCTTTTCAGATAAGTTCAAATCAGTTTTTAGGGGTTTTATACACTATACAATTAAACTTTGAGAGATAGTGTTTAAAGAAGAGAGAGAAAGAAAGGATGGACAGTTTTAGAGAGAGATAGAGATAGATTTAAGAAAAAAAAAAAAAAAAAAACAAAACAAAACCTCGTGCCCCTACTTTCTCTCAGCTTCACTCCGGATTTTGTGCCACCAGCCATACGTTCTCTCCTCAATGGTGCCAACCAGCGGTGCCTCAGCTTTAAACTAAATATATGCAATTCCTTAAGTTCTTCTCTTCAATTCTTACTAATTTCAATAAAAAACTGCATCTATCTTTCTTTATGATCATTATTGGTAAATCCATATATATAGTTAACATCTTGATAAGCATTAATTGTTCAAATCAGCTTCATAATTTAACTCAGATTACTTACTTATCTAGTTATTCTTCAAGAAAAGTAAGTTTAAGCGAAGAAACAAATCAGATTGGTAATTAATTCGACCGATCAACAGAAGTGTAATGCTAAAGTTAATAATTAATGATCAAATAAATTAAAATGATGGATCAAAAGGGTATTTTTAATCCAAAATCACTCAAAAGTAACACAATTTTTTAATATATCAACACATTCTTGTTCTCTGCATTATTCTACGAAGAGAGAGAGAAATGGTGGACCGACTGAGTTTCAATTGGTTTCAGAAATGGTTTGTCAGGATTCGTTGGGTAAGCGGCGGGTTTCATAGTTTGCTGCAACGTGTCCATGCACTTCTGACGTAACCTTACCCTCACTTGCTCCTCATCTGCCAATAACAGCGCTCTTCAGTTTCAATCCGTCTTTATCTCCTACCCAAAGCATCCGCTAAGTTTACAGCCTGTCATTATAAAAGCCTCTGACAGTCCCGTTTAATGGTGAGACGTAAGCAATGGGTTGTATTTGAATATTGTTTCTGCTGCATTGCATGCAGAGAACTCCTATTGGTTCTCAGGATGTCTTTGGGTTTCCGTACACTACATCCACACTGGATTTTTCTCTTTTACAAATTTTTCTTTCTTTTTTTCATCATTTTTAAATAAGATGTGCTCTTGTTCAATCTTTCACGTGAGGCTGGGTCACCGACGACTTTGTGTGCAATAATATGTTGCCACGTTGATGTTGACTGGCTTGTTGTACTTTGAATCCATTAAGCTGTTTCATATGTTTCAGTTTTTTATCAAAAGTGAACTGTTGCAGAGCATATCCAGTTGAAATACACCATCTTTTTGATATCATTTCATATATGAAAATTATTGTCTTCGTTTCGCAAAGTAAAACCTCTGAAATGGTAAGTCCAAACATTGATCTTCTCTCTTTAGTCTACGCGGCTAAAGGTATTATTCCCTACTTTTACAAAGAATTTGCACCAAGAACTGTCGCGAAGTTAGTTTCTTCATTTCTGGCCTTGCAACATATTGAAGAGGTCAATACAAGTAGTAAAAAAATTTATACTATAATTCAATTATATAAACTAAAATATATGAGTTATTTAATAAAGCATGTTTTAACATTACTGAGCAAACTCTTTTTCTCGCGCTAACTTAATCGACTTCTTTTGTTCCTTATTTCTTTCCAAAAGCATCATAAATTTTCCCCAAATTAATTACATTTTTGAAAGTTAGCATATGGACTGTCTAATTAGAATTTTAATATAAATATACTGAAAATCTACAAACGTAATTAATGATCAAAATCACAGTCTACAACCAACATTTGAACGCCAGGATAATCAAATTGCTCCAAAGAAACCTGGAACGGGATATCGAAATTGTGCTTTATTGGATAAGGTCAACACTAAAATTAAACAATTATATTGATTCAACTGTACACAGTTTTGCCAGCCTCAATTGATCGGGAATTGCACATAAAAAAATGGTTCTTAACTAAAGTCAAGAAATTAGGTGAAGTTAATTTGGATGTGGGGATTCAGTTATTCTGATTCTTAAAGTCCCTCATGGTCGTGATAAAGGCCGGGGAATGGGATCAAATGTCATCTTTAAGAGAAGATTGAAATCATAGACAGTATATGGATAATATTGTTTAATAATCTCTTAGATTGCCCGAAGGAGAAAATGAAAGAAAGGAGGATTATTTATTGGGTGAATAAAATTTTCATCCTTACAAAAATTAAATCAAGCAAATAAATAAATTAAAAAGGTATAATCTAGTATGAGTAGTATAGTTTATTAGCACACTGCTGGGAAATGAAAATTTCTCCAAGTACAGGTACATTATCCATGCTATAGCATATATAACAAGCTAGATAGTGTAATAGTTATTAGATTATAATAACAAAATTAGGGAAGGGCAAAATTCATATTGATATATATATATGAATTCACAGAGTAATTTGCTTAGGTACTGATGTTGCGCTTGAGGGTTTTAGCACCATCTTTAATGGTATCCGTTGATCCCTCAGCTGTCCCAACCACTGTGTCTATTATCTTCCCTGTTGTGTCCTTGACTGCTCCCCATGCATCTTGCACTGTTTCCTTCGCTTTATCACTTATCTCCTGTGTTGTTTCAGACACTTTTTGTGCCGAGTCTTTTGTTTTCTGGGCAGCCTAACCACTCACAACCCAGAACAGAAAATTAGATCTATCAGAAACTGAATTACAACAAATTATTTGGCATATTAATAACAGATAATGTTGCATATAGATATGGATGTAACCAAAAAAAAAAAAAGATAATCTGCAATATATATTATGATCATAATAGTATTACATTTTCAGCTACACAAGAAGCCTCATTTTTTACCGTATTTGCTCCACTTTTTGCAGCCTCAGCGGCTTTTTCACAAGCACTTGAAAAATCTTGTTTTGAACTTAACTGCAACATAAATACAAAGTAAGGTAAAATTTACCCGGATTAGAATTAAGTTTCACTGAAAATCTAATAACTATGTACAATTGGTAGTGTGACTCACCCGCACAACGTTCCTCGACTTGGAGCTCCATGGATTCCTTGTGGCTGCTAGTTTAACCGGGGTGCTCCTCGGGACGAGGGAGGTTGTTAGAACTAAGCTTGCCATAATTAATTTTTACGTATTATGTTAATATTTCTGGAGAGAAAAGATTATGTTGGATATATATAAGAGGGAAGAGAGGGAGAAGAGAAATGCGAAAGTGAATCCCAAGTTCCACATGATGCATTTAGCGATTTTGTCTCAGCTGGGTGGCTAAAACAATTTTAACGAAACCATTGTGATTAATGGACCCAGTATTTTAGGGTTTTTGTTTGCCCTATTCCTACAATTCATGTTTTGCAATTTGCATGCATTGTGTATAGATATGGTTAAGCAAGTCTCCACTTTTTTTTCAGTTTTTTTATTTTAAGTAAAAGATGACATTATAAGATAGTTTTATTTATGGGTTATGTATGGGTATGCTAACAAGTACACTCGTCACCTATAATTTAATTCGCTGACTCTAAGCAAAGTTCCACATGACGAATCTGATCCTCTGCCGCTCTGATGTAGTCTCCGTGCCTTCACATAAAATTTGTTCAATTTTTTTTTTCTTTTCATAATTTTTATTGATAGTGATGGTTTGAGTCTGATTGGTTGGACTTATGAAAATTAGTTTATAAGTAATTAGTGTTTATAAACTAATTTGAGCTTATAACTGTTTAAAATTTAAACAGATACGTATTTGGTTAAAATACTTATAAGCGATTAATAAGTAATTGACGTATTTGGTAAAATGTGGCTTATAAATATATTTTATTATTAAAATAACTAAAAAGAATACTACATTATTAAAAATAAGGGTATATGATAAAATTTTAAAATTAAAAAAGAGGTGATATAGTAATATACTTTGTCAAAGTAGTTTATAAGCAAAAAAAAAAAAAAAAATACCTTCTCTCCAGCTTATTTCTTTAGGCTTATAAACTCAGTTTATAAATCCAAAAAAATTATAAACAAATATGCCAATTTAATTTTAAAACTTACAAACTAATTTGACCAGCTTATAAACTTAAACAAACACCCTCATAATTTGTCTTAAGATATGAATAACCATTACACTAGAAAAATTTAAACCTAAACAATTAAAGTGTTTTGTTCTTGTTTTTCTATTTGGGCCTGATTTGTCTGTTATGATCGAAAGTCTTCAGTGAAAGCAAATCTTTTAGAAGTAAGTTATTGGATCCAGTTGCAGTGCTTAGCAGATCCAGGTCAGGATGAAAGATGTGGCTTCACCAACTTTGACCGGAAAGCCTAATTACGAATCTAGCAGCCCAAAAGGCAGTGGACTATATCTGAATGTGCTTACATGCTTTCTAAATTGAGTTGTAATTTATTTGCTTCTTAATTTCACTCAAGAACTCCCTCTACACTAGTTTTTAATTGAAGTGATCTAAATGAATATTTTGGCTACTGATTGTGCCACCAAAAGTTACACAACACAACTCCATCTTTAGGCTTAGAAACAAGATTTATAACACTGTACTCCGATGGATACACATCCATACTTTCTATCTGAGTGTCTATTCTCAAACGTATAACAAGTTATTGCAATCCAAATTTAATTCGTAGAAGTTTTCAGTTTGAAAAGAGAGAGTCAAGTGACTAGCCTTTTGTGAATGTAAGGTGTTTTGTCAAAAATATACATTGATGTCAACACTATCTAAAAGACAAAGTGTATTAGTTATCAAAACTCAAACCACCTCAAAGAGATATTATATAATACATGTCCCATCTGTATCAAAATAAAGGATCATGATAAATGAGGGCTCTCTATGTGTCAAGACAACTTGCAAAAACATTCATTACGTTGAGCTCAAAGGTGTATAAATGGACACCTCTCTTCATAAAAAATGGCCAACTGGGCATACGAGAACTAGACACAAACGAGAGCTTCAACCATTATTGTTTTCTCTATAAATAAAACATTTCTCCATTTTTGTACTTCTTACAAGCAATATCTGAAAATAGCTAGAGAATAATAAAATAACAATGGATATAAGATTTGCTTTAAGCATCCGAATCACTATAAAAATCTTTTATGTCAATCTATTATTTATGTTTCTACAAACATATATAATTTTTGCACCATAATTAACTCTCATAATCATTTACGTGTAATTTCCAAGATTTTCTTAACATTTTACCCGTGCAAGATTATCGGTGTCAAAATCACGCATCAACGTAAGAAATCCTATAACCAGCTCAGATGGCCAAGTGTCTGCAAAGCTGCGATTCAGAGTACCACAACCATATACATACCATTAACGTAGTTGAGTGAAAGGAGCAATTTATGCTGCTCAACAAACTATCTAACAATGCATTTATCATTTTACCCAGAGCTAAGCAGTCATGTTTCACCACACAAATAGAAAACTCTGGTTATATGGGCGCCCAATCCCATTTTTGTCCGTTTAAACCCATATGTCGCATCGAGATTTTACAGTTGTACGGTGATGAGAGAGTAATAGTAACACCCGAAGTTCAATCTTCTTTACGAAAAAATTCAATCTTCTCCCAAATTAATTTTCAATTTTAAATCAAATACACACACACACATATATATATATATATAAAGAAACATTAATTTAAATTCAATTGAAGAAATCATATTCCGTTGTTAGGGAGAAATCATGTTCCACAGTAAATAATTTTCTGGAGGAATCTAAATTCCATGGACTGTAATTTAAATCACCTTGCAAGTTGCAATGCAATATCTATGAATCAATAAATTCCATGTGAATTCTTTAAATATTTCTCGATGCATGCATGCTTATTGTATGATTCTTCGCTTCTTCCTTTAACCACAATCATGAGAAGTAAAAACTTTTTCAGTAAAAGCTCTATACTATGTAACAGGCTGGGAGTTTCACACCCAAAATGCTAATTATTAGGTGGAGAGACTCCCTCCTTTATGAACTCAAGACCTCTCCAATGTGTTTTTGATGTAGGATCCGTGTCATTCTCCCTCACCTAATCATGTGATGCCCTTGTCACAGGTGTCGACCCCAATCTGTCTTTTGATTCAAGCGCCCATACAGAGGAGCATCCACGTATGATTGTAGATCCACTCGAGGGTGAGATGGACCGGTAGACAGGGGGCCACACTTGTGACAAGGGCTTACATAATTGGGTGGGGGAGAATGTCACATATCCCACATTAGAAGGAAAATGGAGGGTATTGGGTTTATAAGGGGGATAGTCTCTCCACCTAATAGGTTCGTTTTTTGGGTGTGAAACTTTCAAGCTTGTGATAATTAGTATATTGACCATTTAAGAAATTGTTATCGATATTCACAAAAAGTTTTGAAAAGTGGAAGGATACTAACAAGGTATAATTCGGATTCAGGTTCTTAATTTCCATTAAGCAATAAGGATATAAATAGATATTCTCTTGCTCTATCATGTCAATTATAATCAAATTTGCAACTAAAAAATATACTTTGACTGAAAATTAGATCATGTTATTTTATTTAATGTAATCAATAAATATAAGTTTGTTCGGTTGCAATTTCACTTAATTTTATTAAAAATTAATACTATTAACTTAATTGTGTTATTAACGATAACAAAGAAAAGCTCTGAAAGAATCAAAACGAGGAGCTCAGTTGCTTTTGATTTCACTTATGCGGGAAACCTATTTGAAATTGAAACGGCAGGTATGGTTTTGCAGAAAAGAGAAAGAAATTAAAGAAGACATTCATATATAATTGAAGGATTTCTAGATCTCTAGTTTTTGTTAAAAAAAAAAAAATTTCAAATCACGAATATATTACTTATAGATTAAGCTTATAGTTAGTAGAATTATTTAGAAAAGGTAAAAGTGGCTAGAAGACCAAATCTCTACAAATTCAACTCAATCCTATCAAAGACAGACAGAAAGTGCAAGACTTCTTTTCTTTAAACGCAAAATTAAAAGTATAATTAAACTGCATGATTATATATAGAAGGGCTATAAACGGAAAGTTCTTTGCTAATTAATGCGACATTGGTTAATCCCAAAGAGTTGGTTTGGTGGTTCTTCTAAACGGCTTAGCGTGCATAACTCTCTTTTTTTCTTGTTACTTGTTGTACTGCGTAGCAGCATTTAGCATCCTGATGAAATGAATGCGTTCGGGGAGGGATTGTGTCCATCTTCTTACACTGTCAAAAAGTTATAATGTTTCATTTCATTAGACATATATTGACCACATAAAGCTTATTAGTTACTACCAAGTAGAAATATCATCTACCCAGTCTCACCTCCTGCAGTTCAAACTTAATTGCCTGTGGTAATTATATACAAGTCATTAACATATCTAGTCTGCCAACAAACTATCATTACTGGATTGGTTGGATGAATTTTCTCTTCTTATTTGTTTGCCCAAATCCTTAACCAACTATGCATATGTCTCTACCTTACATGCATATATCTAAACGCACCGTAGTAATATTTTCAGCTAAACAACTCTCTAGCATTTACTCTCAATGCATATGCCCTAAACTGTTTAAATCCCTCTGACACTCAACCCTTGAAAATGTGTTTGAAAAAGCTAAACCTCGGTGCCCGCATTCACTTCCATTTACTACGCACAACTGCCCCCCACCGCTCTTTTTTTCCCTTTAAAAGGAGACCCCATACACTAGTTGAGCTATACCAAGAAAAGATTAAGAGTAATAGTGAGAGAGAGAGAGAGAGAGTAGAAAGAAGAGATGGCGAGGTGGTTTGTCAGTGTCATGCTTGTTCTGGCAATAATAGTGGTTCACTCAAGTGCAAGAAACACTCCTACTGATGAAGTGGTTCACAACACTGCAAAAAATGTGCCCATTGGTGCGCCCACTGGTGCTGGTCTGGATGATCAAAAGAACTTTGCCACATACGGTGGTGTTGGCGGTCTCTCTGGGGTTGGCTCTAACGGGCTTCCGTTCGGTGGAGTTGGGGGTCTTGGTGGAGTTACTGGTCTCGGTGGTACCGTTGGTGTCGGTGGTGGCATTGGCGGAGTTGGTGGTCTCGGTGGTGGTGGTGGTTTAGGCGGTGGTGGTGGTGGTGGTTTAGGCGGTGGTAGTGGTTTAGGTGGACTTGGGGGCTTAGGTGGACTTGGGGGCTTGGGTGGTACTACTGGACTAGGTGGCTTGGGTGGTGATGGTGGACTAGGTGGACTCGGTGGCTTGGGTGGCGGAGCTGGTGGTGGTGTTGGTGGAGTTGTTGGTGGAGGTGTTGGTGGTGGCGGAGCTGGTGGTGGTACTGGAGTTCTTCCTTTCCCTTGAAATGGTTGAGCTTTAGCTTTTAGATTTACTTATTATAATGATTTTAAGTTGTTCCAGTTCAAGTGTTTGGCAGTTTAAGAGTTAGTTGTGTGTTTGTGATACAGTTTGCTTCTCTGTTTGGAATATTTGCTTATGTTTTATTTTTTAGGCTTTGACACCTCGTTGTTATGTTTCCCTACTTTGGTGGATAATATTTTGCGTAAATAATTCCATTCCGTGTTCTGTCGAATGTTTCATTGTGAGCTATAACTAAACAAACATATTGTATATGTAAAGCTTAATAAGTTTATATGTAAATTAACGATGGAAGCCAAGCAAAGGAGACAATGCCCATTTTAATAAACCTAACCTTAAACAGATGATATAACATCGAAGCATCAATCAAAAAATTGTGAAGTTCATTAACTTGAACTTTATATTATCATTAAGTTTCACTGGCGGGTCAATTATTGGAGATGCATCCAACTCGTTTATGAGTTGTATTAAATTAATCCAAGGCAAGCAATAGAAAAGAATTTGAGTCAATTCAAGAATTCTCTTCATAATTTTTTGCCAGAAGGCTGTAGTCTGTAGATCAACTGCAGCTATCTCTATATGAACCAGAATGAATTCATCCTTGTAAGTACCTCAGTTGGGCTTAAAAATTAAAGAAAGAAATCCAAACCTCTATTTTCCATATGTTCTTAGTTGCTCCGTACGTCAATGTTGCTCACTGGGGCCGGTCCTATACATCTGTCTGTCAGTGATTCGCAGCTTGATTCCCATTCCGTGTCAAGTCCCTTACCCACTCAATTAATCTCTTTTTTGCCCAACATTTCTCATAGCTAACTAGGCTTTATTAAACATTATAATTATAAAGAAGCCGAAATGAATTAAAGACTTGATCTCATGTTGATTTTGTTCGATTGGACCACATACATTACACTTGTTTTGAGGAGACTGATGAACCTACAACTGATGCACATCCTCAGTCTAGTGATTCCTGTCTCTATCAATATCCTCCCAAATTTTACATTTTACAACTACATTTCCCTCTACCACCGGTCAGCAAAATGAAAAATATTAAGTAAATATAACGGATTGTCCGTGACAGATTTATTATGTTGTTTGAAAACAATGCATTGATAATTTCACCTACTGTTAGCTTGGATGCTGATATCGAATTAACTCTACTGCCAGCGGAATTGAATGAGTTGAATCAGATTGATCAGTAGTGGTAGAAGTAAATGGCTGCCACCTAGCTAGCTATGAACTTGCATTGCAGAGTAGTCGAAGCTAGCTTTTACGTTTCATTTATTCGTTTGCCTGCTTGATCAAATTTTTGTATTCAATGTTCACATCTTTCACTCTTTACTTTTTCCCTGAGTGCTGGGGCAATCCAGCTCAGGCATGGAGGAAAACTGAATAAACAAACATCTGAGCCAAAGCCAATTCTTGATATTTATTACTGGGACCACACATCGATCTAACTCTACGCTACATATTTACACCTCTAAGAAGACTACATGCCACATTTTCAAGTTTTATCCAGTTCTTTTAATTTAAGGTCATTCTCAGCATCAGAGGAACCTTGTGTTGCGTATGCCGAAGTTCACTCAATATCTCTTTACAGGTCAATCATGTTTTAACCTTCAAACACCTATTTAATTAGGTAAGGAACCACCATTTGTGCTTCACTAAGTAGCGCTTATCACATCATCACGTAATACCCTCCAATAAAAATATATAAAAAGGGAAAGTACAATGCTGCGATTTATTTGGATTTGGACTATCTATATCAGTTGGGACAAGATAGAGGCACAATTTCTTGAGGTCATGGTATTTATTTAATAATGCTAGATTTATAACCTTATTTCACAGCCATTGACATGGCAGTTTGTCATAGATTAGGTCACAAAATGAGCAAACGAGACCTATACAAACAGACATGATCTATTTTGCGAAGTGATCAATGATGAATTGTCACATCAAAGGTTGTAAGAGAAAATTGTGAGATTGTGTTATAGACTTAACATTACTTGTATTTATTAACTAGATCTTACACTCTAGTCGTGCATGCTTGTTCAAAACTAGATTTAACAATTTTTGCATAAATTCTATTAATAAAAACATGTCTATTTTAATATAATTATACAAGTAATAGCACCTTAAAAATTATTAATGCACCAAACATCTATAGACTGATTTTGGAAAGCATAATTTTAAAGCATGCAGAATGTACAAAACCTTGTCAAATTAGTCATCACAGTTGCAAAATTAAACCTAACTACCATAGTTAACGGTAAGTACGGTCGAATCCACAAGGAGCAAAGACTAACGACCTAATGTATTTTTGAGTTAACGAAAGGGAAACTGGCAAATTGATTGATTAAAACTAAGAAAACTAATTAATTGCAAGAAATTAAAAGCATCAAATAAATTGCTAACTAAAACACAATATTAAAAGCGTTGCCGTTACAAATTCAGTTCGACTCAAGACCAACTCTCACAATTTCTCTCTTCGCTCTTCAATTTCCTAAACCTACAAGGCTAGGCAAATAAATAAAAACATCTCCCGACAATCTATGTATAATCTATCATGTCTCTATGTCGTCTTCATTACAGATCGATTGGTTAAATACTATCATTGACTAACCAAAAAACACTAAACCATTAAACACCACTAGTTGGTACACCGCTAATAAGTACAACCTATCAACTTGTATCATCCAATTACACAACGAATGCATTCTTAGTAGAAATTATATTAAACGCTAATACAACTTGATTGCAATTAGTATGGAAGCAATTTAAAGCCATAATCAACATTCAATAATCTCAAACCGACATTCAATTATGCGAAAAGTTGTATATCAACAAATGTTCTCAATGGACATTATCAATTCAACACGTCAAGCATCAGAATAATATTAAAGCATCGCAAACAAACTGAAATGAAAGCAAATATAATCTGAATACAAGAAACTAACCAAATGTCCAACATTCGAGCTCATCCAACTAGTCGAGAACTGCCGAGAAAATCCATGAGCGTCGATCCTGATCTCGCCTACACCGTAATAGGCAACTGAGAGCTCAGCCGCTCATGGTGGTGTCGACGAAGGCTGGAACGTCGGGAACGGAGTTGGTCATGGCGAAGAGGACGTAACCGACAATGAGATGGCATGCTTCGTGGTTGAAGAAGACGATGAAAACACCCAGAAGCTGAAGGGATACAGCTCGCTGGAAAACGTTAGTGTTCAGCGGTGGTTCCTAGCGACCGGTGGCGGAATGGAGATCTAAGGGTATAAAGAGAAAGCTCACTAGCTGGGGAGTCTGTCTGTGTGGCTGGGAAGCCTAGACAACGTCGAAAATGGAGTGAAAACACACCAAGAAGTCGAAGAGTCGTTGGATCAAGGTGATGGATCTCGTCGGGAAAAAGGGTAGATCGACGGCGGAAATATGAGGGGAAACTGATGGCGTGACGGTCAATACAAAAGGAGCTCAATCAACACCAAAAAACAGTGCAAACTCTGGTAGAAGGTGAAGAGTCGTTGCGTGGAAACGGTGATACGTCGCCGAAGGCGAGAGATGAAACGTCGTGGCTTGGATGAGATGGAAAGGATGGCTTGGCCGGTGTGAGGGAAGGTGAAACGTTGTCGATCGGCGACCAAGGGAGTTGAGGGTGGCGGCTGGCTCAGATCTGGAACTATTCGTGTTGTTTTATACTATGTCTGGTAAATTTAGCAGTCCCTTCATGAATGAAAACTAACAAAATCAACCCCCAAAAATATGACAATTTACCCCCTAAACAGAATAAATGAGACAAATTCAGACCTAATAAATAAATCATATCCTAATATCGACTCACAATATCTCAAAATCATTCCAAACATGCAAAATTGTACGGAAAAATTAAAATGTGATTTTTTATTAATAATTCCAAAATTTCTTCAATTGTCTTAATATAACTTCAATTTAATTACACAAATGGTTTTTTTATTATCAAAATATAACCACTTTCATGACTGTAACAACCTCTTTTACAGATGCGATTATAAAAATTGCATTTGGATCACCAAAGATGATGGGATTTACTTGAAAAATATCCCTAAAAACTCTGATGAGTTAAGGCATACATGGGAGCCGGAATTAGAGTGATATAGAAAACGCTTTTTATGCTCTTTGGAGATTATGTTATGCTTCTTTCAATAATATTGTAATTATTAAAAGGATTATCATTTGTCAAAAACTTTGATTTAAGGTTATCAGTGGAGTTTTGTTTATGTTTTTTTTGTTATTCTTACCAGAACCACTAAATCACATACATGACAAGTTGATAGGAGAAATTGAAAAGAATAAGGAGTTAAATTTTTATTAATAACACTACTCATCTCAAAATTTATCCCAAATTTCATATCCAAAATGAGGTGTCATTATATATAATATTGACATATAAATAAAATGATGATGCATTAAATGACATGTTACTACCCTATACGGTGACAAATCATTTGAGATAAATTTTGGGATGAATAATATTACTCAATTTTTATACATTGTTATAGCCTTATTAATATACAGATAATGTTACCGATTTGAAGTTATAATATTATTCTTAATTGAAGTGTGATGTTAAGCTACGTGGTGCTGACGTCTAAATGATAACTAATTTGGGAATATATATAATATCACATAGGAAAATATATGAATTAGAATGAAATTAACTTTTGAAATAAAACTATGAATTTGCAGCATTAATTACTATTTAATTATATACTAATTAAACTAAGCTAAATAGCATGTATTAATTAGATTAGGCCAAATTACTTTAATTAATGACCAAAATTGTTAAGAATATAATATGATCTCCGCTGGCTACCTCAGCTATTTAAAGAAGGTTAATTAATTACAATAGCCTTCCTGCCCATTAATTGAAATTATCAATGATTTCACAATAAAATAAAAAGCTTTATGAATTGCTCTAGTTTGCCTTAGACTAGTTTGGATCCAAGGATTTTAAA